CATGATTATCTTCCTCATAGACACGGATCACATGCTTAGTAACGTACTGCATTGGGAGGGGTTTCGGTTGTACTGGGGGGTGGGAGGTTTGATTGTACTGGGAGGGGCTTTTGTTGTACTGGGAGGGGTTTTGGATATTGAACGTGTCTTGGAGAGACAGATGTGTTTACACTGCTATAACATGTGACTCAAATGTGTCTCAGAGCACCTCCTGAAGTGGTTTGAGCAATCGGATTTGCATCTGTTTTAAATGTGTCTTGGGTGTGTTTACACTTGCATTTTCATGTGGCTTGGCCTCATCCAGATATAATCCTTATACTCAAGACCTATGAAGTGACCAGGTCTAAACAGGGTCATTGTCTAATGACTGGATGCACCTTAATTTTACATACAACATCAAGTAGGCTATAGCTTAACGGTTGCTTAAACAACAAAAGGCTTAATATACACTCCAAATAAAAAAAAACTTAAATATATTGTAAAGAACACAGATAGATAAAAGATACGTACATATATTGATAGAAAAAAGAACTGCAATGACAGCTGGAAAAATTATATGACCATGACTTTGTGTTGAGAAAGTTACGGTTTATCAAAAATACAAGCAGCTAATCTAGTGGAGTACTTGTGTGTGTTGCATGCAAGGAATTGATGATGCAGACAACTCATAACATGCAACTAGATGCATGAAAGTTTCACCGCGTAAAGCCAGCCTAAGAGTGGAGTAAAACGTGATTGAATCTAGAGAAAGTGTGGTGTTCATCTTCTGATTTTTATAGTGCATATAACACTTACGGTAGATATTTAATCTCATTTAATCTCTGCCAAGCAAAATGTAAATTGAAACAACGTGGCTCAATGAAAAAATGTGATAAAAGAAAGTAGTATATAAAAATCACTACTGGTTATTGTATTTACACAACACATCATATTATGTTTCACTCTACAATTTAGTTCAACACTGATGATTTTCCGGTATTCAATATGAGTATTGTTGCTTTTTTGTTAGTAGAGGCTTGATTTTACACTGTGCTGTGGAGTGCTAAGTGGGCTACATGCTAAGTCTTCAGGCTGACTGGACATTGTGCTATAAATAACTATTAGAGCTCATAATGCCATGCCTGACAGTAGTCACATCCACACATCCCTCTAGACTGCTGACCTAAGACCAGTGTATGGTCCTATTTCTCACACCAGGCTCCTCTCAGTCCACCTATAGTATGTAATTATTTGTGTTGTTTGGGTTTTCATGGATAATCTAAGCACTGGGGTGGACTGTTATCTCATAGCATTGTGTAATTTACACAGGTCATATCTGGGAACCAACTTCTATTAGTCAGGTACCAATCATGACAAAGCATAGCTGCAGCAACAATGTGTATCTTCTTCACAGTCCGATCTGAAAGGTGTTAGCCTCATTAGCATTCATCACTCGGGCCTCCTAATCTGACCAGACACACTGGTAGGTCATACTGGCAGGTCAAGTTCATTCCTTATGAGGAATTAGATAGCAGTAGCTTGACCTGTTACGGAATCATTGTATCAAACCAGCAAGCTTTTGAAATAGGTCAATGATAAGTGCTGTTTGCCTGTTCAAATATGTGCATCAATTCATTGAATTCAATATTCCTATTTAAACATCATATGGAAATTGAATTGAATTATATTGAAATGCCGAACATAACAAACAAGCAAACCTCACCACTTCTGGGCCTTAAAGTGATAGTGTTTGCCTAAAACACCACACGCTTGCCTGAAACTGTCATGTTGTTAAGTAATCTCAAATAGGCCTGTTTATATAGTTTCTGACACTGTATGACATACTGTTGAAAACAGTACATGTAGCCATCTTGAAGCCTGAATTTTGTCCATTTTTACAGATGACAACCTGGTTTGACATGATTTGAAGCAAATGTGTCATGCTAATGGGCGATATGTTTTCATTATTTGTTAGCTATGTTAGCCTTGTATCTCCAGTGCAAAACTAAAGAATCAAACTTCAGAAACCAAAGGTCTTGGCCTACTACATTTTGGTAAGGGAAACATTATGTAAATCTGAAAATTTGACCAAACTACAACTTTAAAAGTTCTGTTTGGGTGGTGTGTCTGATGATACATGTTACATACGAGTTCTGCTGCATCATGAAAGGCAAAATTTAAACCACAGATTACTTGCTAAGGTAGCTGGCTTACTAGTGAGATTGAGTGAGCTAACATTCTTACAAAAGTAACATAGAAATGCCCACCTGCTGCAAGCAGAGGGATCCAGCATGGCGGAACGCAACAAGAAAAAGCACAAGTGGACTGTGACACCTTACTATTGCAACCCCTAGTTGTGGTTTCAGGTGAAGTTTGCAATTCATCTGATGAAATGAGAGTCTCTTGTGGTTCAACATAATTTCATAGTATGATTCTGGATCAACCGTAGGATTTCTCCATTTCCGGTTATGATTACAGGTGTGAATGTTTGACCTTGTACTGAAAGATGCAGCTGGGAAGTGAAAAGGTTAAATCTTGCCCCATTGTCAGGGAACCTTCACAGTAGGACTGTACCAGACAGGAGTTGAGTAACAATCCTACACTGGAAAATGTGGAGGCTTGAATTTACATGATTCAAATGTGCCAGCTGTTTGCATGTGGATAAAATACACTCTTAAAAAATGGTGCTTCAAAGGTCCTTTGGTAAAGTCAATGATTCTACTTAGAACAGTGAGTTCTATATAGAACCATTTCATGCTTAAATGGTTCTTTGCACGGTGAAATAGTTCCTCAGATTCATCAAGAATGTGCTTTCAATGGTTCTATACAGAGACATTTTGAAAATGGTTCTATAGAGCACCAAAAAGGGTTCTGATATTGTTATAAGCTTGACATCATAACAGTAGAAGAACCCTTTTTGGTGCTCTATAGAACCATTTTCAAAAAAGGTTCTATATAGAACCATACACAATACATTCTCCATCAATCTGAAGAACCATTTTACCCTGCAGAGAACCATTTAAGCATGAAATGATTCTATATAGAGCATATGGTTCTAAATAGAATCATTCCCTTTACTAAAGAACCATTAAAGAAGAATCTTTTTTGAGAGTGTAGACTACACCAACACAATTATTACCAAATAAAATTCAGCTGTATGTAACTAACAAATTTGAACTAAGTAAATTCAACCTTGCATGTTTTCCAGTGTAGGAATGTTGCTCAGCTCCTGTCTGGTATCCTGCTCTAGCTCCACTGTCACCACCCATCCACACCTGTGCTAGTTGCTAATCATCACCTGCACCTGTACCCTTAAATGTAGTGATCAATGTTTCTGTATTATGTACTCTCTTAATTGCTGTATGTTCCTTCTTAAAGTCTTGCTTATCTGTTGTGTGCAGTTCTTAGCTGTGGGTTTCCTGTTCCTGTGTATTCTCCGGTTCTTGGTAACTCCATTTCTAAGTTTCTGACCTTGATGGCCCTGATACGCCCTTCATTCAGTGTTAGTTGAATTTATGAGCCTGTGTGTCCATAAAGCCAACAGCTTACAACAAAGATTTGTCCAAATATCAAATTTACACCAATTTTATTCATTGTGGTCAATTAACAAAACATGTTCGGTGTCTAACATTTGAACCTAATACATCTAACAAATAATGGCAACCTATACCCCTCAAATTAGCATGGTGTAAACTGCATTCCTAAATCGTCACACTCTTGCCTCAAACATGTTGAGTTGTTAGAGGGGCATTCCAACCTAAAACAAGCATTTATGATATTTGTTAGGTTAGCCTATGTAATATGCTGTAGTGCAGCATTGCATCCTTTATTTTCAGTGATTTGACAGAAATCACTACATTGTGTCCTTTTTGTGTTTCCAGTAACCAACATGCATTACACCAGATACATCACACAGCCATTAGGAATACTTGTGGCACTCAACAAATCCTGACCGCTGACCACTACTGCTCTGGCAGCTCATAAATAAATCTGTGGTGCTAGCCTGCATGAGCAATATAGCACTAACCTTTGTCAAGGAAAAAATTCAAACAGCTGCCCCTATACCTGATGCTGTGCTAAAAGTGTTTTTCTCTATAAGATTTTTTACATTTAACGGCTTATCCAGAGCAGTGTAGGCAATGCAGCATTTGGAGCTTTGTCCAAGGGCTCATTTGTTAACATAGAATGCTGGCCTGGGTGAGTAATCAAACCCCAGTCTGCTGTGTAAAGAGCAGTGGTATTATCCACTACGCTATACCAAACACAGTCAATTAATATCACCCAATATGGCACACAAGACCTACTTTTGCAATGAAAGCTAACCTAGGATTCAAACCAAGAAACTGGGAGTTTAACCCAGGACCTTTGGATCTGCAGAAAGGCAAAGTACTCCAAGTACCATTTTGTTCAACACTTTCTGAAGTAACCTAAAGATCTCCTTTAAACTTTACCAGTGGTTAAATGTTAAATGTCCAAATACTTTTTGGTGACACTGTATATCAAATTTGCCATCTTGATAGGCTTTACTGCCATGCAAACGAGCTCTCATTGAAACTTTAATGTAAATACTTTTTATCATATCTTTATTAGCCCCAGTCATGTCCCCTCCACATTTCCTTGTTTACCTTCTAGTTATAAAACTGTGTACATGTCACATGCTTTCAGTGACGCATGCATTATTGCTTGCTTGTTGCACGGACCCAGTGGCAGGAAGAATGGCATGTGACCAAGAATGATAGAGCAGTTTCGGTTATAATTTCTGCCCCAATAGATGAGAAGGTAATAGAAGGAGGGCAAAGAACTCATTATGAGCTGGAAGGATAGAGTGAGTGTGGGAGAGAATTGGAATTAATGATGGTCAGTGTTTGGCTAAAAAAAAAAACAGCTTGTGGGCCAGAGCAAGCAGAGGGCTCAGTGGGATGGGAAATTACTGGCTCCGTCTGAACCATTTATGGGAAAAGGAAAGACAAGGAAATGAGTCTCGACTGTAGAAACAAATAATAAAGCCACAAGTCTTCAAATTTCCTTGAAGGTTTTTTTATTGGTCCAGCAAATACAAAAAGAAATTGTTTGCTTATCATTTTACTGTCTCTCTTAAAGAAAAAGGAACAGTCGCACTTCATGATACGGGCCATAATCTCAACAAGGAAGGTGGTTTGTACTCAAAATTCAATGATTCTACATTAAAAATAAATAAATAGTTTAACAGAAAATATACAGCATTACAAAATACAGAATTCAAGTATAATAAGCAAAAAATAATTAGCTACTACAGTTAAGAGTGATATATACTGCATCTACAATGTGTTAAGAAAAAGGTTTAACATCATGATCACTTTAGCCAAAACCTGGCTCCTCAAAAAGCAAAAAGTGCATTTACACCATTAAATAACTTGGTTTTTGCTTTATATATATTGTATTATCCCCATTGTGCTAGTGTTAAGAGTAAAGCTTGTTTCTGAATTACATTTCTCTTGCTCATTACCTAAGAAATATACAGGTACAAATTCAAACTGTAAACATTTGGTTAACATTAAGTGTATACAGAAATAAAATACCAAATATTGAAATCTCCATTGGTTGAACAATGTGCATACATTTTTGGGACTCACTTCTAAGACATATTGAAGAGTAAAACAGATGAAATGATGAAATAAATGACGCTGCACATAGTAAAATCTTGGATGAATATAAAGCATCATTGGCCTGAGAAGCCGAAGCACTAGGCACTCTAGGGAATTCTTTCATACATAAAGTTGAAAAGAAAAAGAAAAAAAAATCTCTCAGTCAGCATTACAATAAACAGATGATACAAGTACTGCACAAATATAAATACCCTCAAATACAAATACATCCACACAATATTCCCATGATCACAACCTCAATCACAATATCCTCAACATGCTTTCTTTGACATACATACAAAGTGTATAATCTCTCAGTGCATGAGACAAATCTCAAAGTGCCATTAACAACAAATCTGACAAACTTTTACAAAACAGCCAGCAGCAGTGTAGGGGCGTTCATTACAGCACTTAGAGATATGACAATGAAATAACATTAGATAAAATGGAATAATTACTTGTATCAGGAGTTGTTTTTTTAGTATTCACATCAGTATGTGGCCCAATATGAGGCATATGGAGTGTGCCTTGTGGGCATGAGTCATCCTTTGACTTTCTTTGGTGTGTCTCATTACGTGCAGGTGTGGATTTCACCTGGCCAAGCCAAGCGTGACACATTCTGTGTGGCAATGAGATTCACACCAGAATAAATGGAAGTCAAAAAAAAGCTGTTGAATCACAGCAATGTGATTGGTAGCTTTGCTGGATCATTCATTCATTCATTCTTGCCACAGTGCTTCATTTCTCTTCCTTCACTACATAAAAAAATCCACCAACACACACAGCAGTTGACATACTGCTGTTCAAAGACCCACATATTCATTAAACCACATTAAGGGCACACAAAAATGCCCAAGTAGCCACTCAGTGCCTATATTCTGTCCTTATTGGGGAACAGAAGAAGCTGAAGAGTCTGAGAATCTTCAGAAGGAGAACTTTTGCAGAAACTGCTTGGCAGCGAAGCTTCCTGTAAAAATCGGCAGATGCAGATAAACCATCTCACTGGCAAAGCTGTGGGATGTCGCGGCTCTCTGCAGCGCATCGCTTCAGGTTCTGCGTGAAGAGAACATAGATTTGACTGTGATTAGTAGTCTGATTAATGGTCAACTGCACAAGCAAATTTTGCCACGGAGTGACCTCAAAAGCTATCACATACAGAGAATGAGGGAGCTTTCATTTAAAATGCATTTTACATGTCACACTCAAATGCCATTGCCCCTTGAATGACCTTAAATGCAAAAAGCATTTTTCCACTGCACAACGCAATGAAAAATTTAGCACCAAGAACCACCAGTACCAAAGGTTCCAGTTTTTATGTATTTTGGTACTCAGGATTGGTACCAACAGGACCTAAATATTCTCCTCTGTCTTTAGTAAAGCCAACAATTTAATGAATTCCTTACTGTTCCAGGCTGAAAATAAAGTCTACAAACACTATGTCACCAAAATGTGCACCAGAATGTAAACTAGAAGGCTATGTTAGAGTATTAATCGCCAATTTTAGAATTATTATTTTATAAAATGTTTTACAAGCTACTTAGGAAGCTAATACATAATTTATACTAGTATTCTCTTAAGTGTTCACATTTTCACACTTGACAGAGACAAAAATTAAGCTTTGCTTGATTATCATTGTGATTTGGCTAATCTATGTCAAGACCTTTTAGGTTTCTGGAATGGATTAGCCAGGCCAATAGTTTCTACAACTCGAGACCAGAGGAGAGGACAGTGCTGCCAAGTGTTTGCTAATCAAATTGACCACAGAATCATCATGACGCTTAGAGTCTCTCTACAGCAGTAAACTAATCCTCAGAGCTGTAACCTGAGCCATGATAAATAATTTATATACTCTAATCTCTAAACAAGTCTCATTTCTGCCCTTGCATAACATTCTGCGTAGGTTACAGAATGTCTAATTGCTCGGCTGCCTCTGCACCCCTCCCCCTCACTTTAACTTAAAATGTAATCTCCTTGTGCGAGGTCATGTGAGGTAAGCGATAAAAACTCTGTGTGTAACCAAAACCTGGGCTGTGCGCTCAGCTGAATGCTCTGTTCAGGACAGAGATCAGATCTCAGATGCCCTACTCTGCTGAAATGTCAGCAAATGCCACCACTGAACCCTCTCCAGTGTCACTATAAACCTGTTCACTGAAGACTTGGTTTACAACACAGACAAAAGCAAGAGGTAGTGGGGAAAAAAAAAAAAAAAATTATATATAAATATAATTATATATAATTAGTATATATATATATATATATATATATATATATATATATATATATATATATATATATATATATATATATATATAGTATTACTCATAGTATTGAAATATTTTAGGTGAAAAAATAGTGTTGATATTTTTATAATTTAATGTCAGTATAGAAATATTCATGTTTTAATGTGTATTTGACTAAACATACAAAAAGTCCATTGTTTTCTTAGTCTATAAGAACATTAAAGGGACTATCTGGTCAAACTGAAAAAATGAACCATTACTCCATTCGTTGTAAACATGCCTACTTAAATCCTACAGTGGCACCACAGTAGTTTCTAGAGTGAGATTTTCAGATTTAAAGGCTAGGAAAGACCTCTTTTGATGATGTATCTTGAAGGTGGGAGGAGCCTTTGAAAAACTACAAGGGCATTGGAGCAGATCAAAAGTAATCAATCCCAATATATAATCACACGTTCATCTCAATATTTAGGGTGTTACAAATCTTTAAAATTGTAGAATAGTATCATGGCTCAAGTATCATAATAATATTATATTGTGGCATCTCTAATGCCCCCCCTCTACTCTAAATAGGACCTATCCAGAGGCTCCAATATTACCTCTGAAATAGCAGCACTGACATGACTTTCAGGTAGTGGAACACAGTGCGTCTTTAGGCATGCAAAACGAGACAGACAAAACATATGATATGAATGTTAGAAGACAAAACAAAATGGATTAGAAGAAAAGGCAGAGAAGAGACATAACCGTGCCGGCGAGCCAACTGACAGCTGGTATGGCCTGCACACACACGCTGCAGGCTTACGTAATGTATTATCCGCCGCTGATGATGTGGGGAGGTAAAAATGCCAGACAGTGAGTGATGTAATAGTGTGTGGGAAGGTGAAGTTATTCGAGTGCAACCACAATTCCTAAATGATGCTGCAATTTGATCTCCCCCAGGAGTCGTATTAAAGCAATAGTTTGGTGAAAAATCAAAAGGTTTTTCCTCTCACCATGTAGTCAATCAGCCAAAACATTTTTGATGTCTGAATTTTGCTTCTTAAGTTTTGCACTGGAGCTACAAGGCTAATGTAATGGAAGCTTATACCCCACCAATTAGCATCATACAAATTCCATACCTAAATCATCACGCACTTGCCTCAAAGTGCTTTGAGCTGTTAAGTGATCTGAAATAGACTTGCTCATGTGATTTCTGACACTATATGACCATTCTGTTATCTATGAAAATGAACAAACGTATGTTGCACAGCTGAAAATAGTAATAGCAGCCATCTGAAAGCTCTAATTTTGTCCATTTTTTCATACAAAACTAAAGAAGCAATTTTCAGGCATCAGCAATGTCAATTTTTTGATTTGTTACCAATTTATTCCTTTCAAGATTCATTTCTTTCTTTGTTCAACTAACCTAGCCATTTGAGCTGAGGCCTGTCTCACGAAACAGGAGCTGCTCAGCCAGCTAAATCAGCTTAGATCGATCTAACCCTGGATTTACTGTCCCATGACGGTGGATCACTTTTTACCGGGCTACATCATCTGGCAACTTATGCTGCACACTTAACCTGCTCCAGGTCAGGTTCAGGATTTCTTATTAAAATCACCTCTCTGACAAATCAAGGCCTAAACAATCAGACACAGCCTTCTGATGGAGGTGGACCCGTCTGGTCCTTTTTGGGTCATATCAAGAATATAAAGGCATTTTTACTCCAATATGCAATAAGTTGCTTTACTTTCTACATATTTACACAGTATGATTATTTTTCCCTTTTCTGAAAAAATAAGCCACTTTATCACTTGAGTATCATGAGTATCGAAGCTGGGGTTAACAGAGAAAATTCGTAACTTCTCAGTTTTGTGAATCTGAAACTCGGTCAGGTGCTCTTTCAAAGCAGAACATGCTTCAAGAGACAGGCCTGTGGTCTATGAACAGAAACACAGAAGCGACAGACAGAGGACACTGATACTTACAGACAAGCTTGGCCAAGCCAGTGCTGTAGCAAAAAGAGCATGAGAGAAAATGGGGAGGTGAAGAGGAACAGAGAAGAGAGAATGTGTCTGAGTGATGAGGAGTGTGGAATTAGTGCATATGGATTGCTCTGTTGAACACAGTAGCTGGTGAATTAGAGCAGTAAAGGAATTGTGGAGCAGCAAACACATACACACTCATACACAAACAAATGTACACACAGAGCCTTTGGTACCTGTGTGGTCAATGCGAGGGAGCCGTTTGTGGTGGCACAGAAGGTCAGCGGTGCTGGAGTCAGCTCGGGAATGGTGGGGTCATCCAGGGCGTCGATACGAGGCTTCTTAGTGGGCTCGTGACTCGTCAGAGGAGTCACACTGTTCCTCCTGATCAAAGTGCCTGGGCCCCTCTTGATCTCCTACAGAGCGAGAGCAATGGGAGGGGCAGACAGATGGTCAAGCTTCAAGTACATGTGTGTGGTAATTTCTGTGTTCATTTACACTCAAATTTCAAGTATTTTGTGAACAACAAGAAGTTATTAAATGACAAAAAATATACTGTAATTATTTAGTAATAGTATATTTTATCAACCTTTTTGCTCATCTCTTTTGAAACAAGGGGCATCCTGGATATTCAATTTATTATAACTCTATTCTTGATTCTGATACAGGCATTTCAGAACCATCTACACTACTGTTCAACCGTAAAGTTGTAGAGGGTTAACATTATACCAGAATCATTTTACACATTTATCTGCAACTAAACAGGGGTGTATGAAGTACAATACTTCTGTACTTAAGTAAAAGTAGATGTACTCTTGGTAAAATAGTACTTGAGTAGCAGTACAAGTACTATATCTATATTTCTACTTGAGTAAAAGTAAAGAACCATATTAACCCAAAGTTTGATACTTGTGTACATTCACAAGCAACTTCTGTATTTTTATTCAAGTAGTATTTTACCAAAAACACATACATTTTTACTCAAGTACAGAAGCAGTACACTTAATGCACCCCTGAAGCTGAACTGGTTTTACAGTAAATGGTGATTCCAAACTTTTAAATGGTAGTCTTTGTGCGCAAGTTGTGTTCTTACCTCAGGTCTGTCCCTGTGCGTGTTCACTGCCTCAACGTTTAGTGAAATGGACTCCACTTTGCACCCTGGAAGATTAGTGGAACATTCCACTGTTAGCACCTCTTTGCTTTGTACCTGAGACTACTGCAGGTTAATAGTGCTATTTATGGCAAACTTCTTACCATAGGCCACTGGGGTCAGCTTCAGTACAGTGTGGAGTGGACACTTAAGGTAGGGCATCTCATCTGCAGCCAGAAGGTCAGGGGTTAGTCAGATTACATGATCATTCAACAGAAGCAGATGAAGCTGCAGTTAACAAGGTGGGAAGTTTTACGCAGGTCTTACCAGCACTCTTGTCTAGGAAGTAAGCAAGGAGGCAGCGCATGACAGCTTGGTGGCAAATAACCAGGACGTTCTCCTGTCTTTCCAGCTCCATGATCACCGGCTCCACCCGCTGCACCAAATCCTGGTAAGACTAGACAGAAATAAATCAAATTTAGAAGGGAAATTTTATAGGCTACAGGTGTAAAAATGCATTGATGGATGATGCCTGTCTATAATGTTATAAACAATTATAATCAATTATATTAAGTAAAGTAAACCATTCAAAATGGGTTCTCCATAGGTTCTTTAGTAAAGGCAACAGTTACATATAGAACTGTGACAACTCAATGAGTCACTGGAATGTTTTGACGTTTCTTCACATTGTTTAAAGATACTTCTTCATGATGGAGAAGCTGTTGTATATGTTTTTTAAGAACCTTTTAGAAACTGGTTCTTTATACCACCCAAAAAGTATTAACTATTCATAGAAGTCAAAGAACCTTTCATTGGTGCTACTGAGGGGGATAAAACTATTGGACTCATTGGTGTGTTTTGTAATTTTCAGAATTCCATTCTGGAATTCCAGAGTTCATCAAGCACTGAATAATTTCCTAAGGAAAGGTAATCAAATTGAATCATTGTGAATTGTTTAATTATTATTTATCTGTTCATTTTGTCTTATATAGTTTCCTTCATTTTATTTTACTACTGTTTGCACCCTGTATGGTTCTGCTTTTTTTTTTTGAAACTTACTATTCCATTTGAAACCACTTTGAGCTGTTACACGTATATTAATATCATTATTATTAGTAGTAGTACTAGTAGTATTTTCACCACTATTGAAAGCAACTGCATTAGACTGTTATGGTCTTGAGGAACCTGCACCAGGAATGACTCCCATTTCTCTGCAAAGTGTACTACACAAGGATTGAGCCGATGTCATTTACAGCCTGTATATTATGCTACAAGTCAAACATTGAGCCTTTCTCCAGATGAATTATTATTGCAGCTGTGAGGCCTACCTCTCCAGTGGGGTAGCGGTAGTAGTACTTGTCCTGATCTCTCAGTGCGAACTCTTCAGGGTAGCGCTCCCTCACTTCTTCATATGTCATCTCCTCACACACACCCTGTCGACACACACATGCTGCTTATTAGAGAGAGAGGTTACAAACGTGGACAGAAAGACAGCCTAAGGAAGTTGGGCTGGTCAACAAACGTACTGCATCAATCTCGTTCAGGGCCTTCCACTGCTCATACGGCACATTGAGCGCCTCGGCCGTCTGGATGCTTCGCCGAAACTGGCTCGTCCACACCTTCAGGTCTTTAAGCTTCTGTTCCTCCACAAACTTGGCCAGGGCGCTGGCAAACTGCAGAAAATGAGACCAAGTCAGTCAACTAAAAAAAACCAAATGCAGTGACCAAGCTTCAAAGAATCTTGTCTTAAAAAAGTAAGACACAGTTCAGCAAATTTTCCAAGCCACAAGATATGTGGTGTCTGGAGTTTGCTTTTTTAGTTTTGCAGTGAAGTTAAGAGGCTAAAACGAGCTGCTTTTGCAGCTTCATTTCCACATATGGACAGTAGAGACTGGGAAGTGAGCAGCACATTTTGTACATTTCAGTACAAACTTTAACAGTGTTGGCTGAGTAATAAGCGCACCTTTCTGCCTCGCGTTGAGAGGCCTGAGTCTCCGCCCAGACGGCCCTGCAGGTTGTGCTGGCTCTCACCATGGCGACACAGGTAAATGGAGCGGGGCTGGACGTGAATGTTCATCAGGTAGTAGACGATGCGGCTCTGGATGTGGTCCTGAATGCGGTTCACCAGGAACCTGCGGCCCACGTCAATCACCTTGATGAAGGACAAGTTCCTGAAGGACAGAGAGAACAGCTGTGATTCCAACTCTCCTGTTTAAAGCGTCCATATTCTACATTTTACTTGTATTTCAAGACCAAGCACATAATTCTTTTTTATCCCTTAGAATTAAACAGGCTGTTTCTGTTCTTAAGACTGATATGTAAATGATCTCTCTTCTGACTGGCTGCCACGTATTGCACCTCATTCAAAAAGAGTCTGAGCAGAAATGTGCAGTACACTCATCACTTCAACATGAATAGGCAAAGCTAAACTGATGGCACATGCAATAGTTTTCATGGGAATGATGTGTTCAGAACAGCCCGTTTTGCAGCTTAGTTTCCATATATGGACTGTACTGATTCGGACTGGGGAGGGTGTGAACGGTATATTTTGAAACTTACTTGTCATAATCATCTGGGTCAAGGGGCTGATAGTTCACCCTGTAACACTCAATCCTCTTCTGAAAGTCTTCCAAGGCATCAGTCTTGTTGCAGTCTTGGTAATCAGGACATGACACCTTCACTTCCTGTTAGTAAATAAAGTTCATACTTAAATGGCATCCTTATATTAACTGGCCTTTTTGAGTTTAAGGGGGTTAAAATTGCTAGAAGTAGTATTCCAGGAAAAGCATGGATATGAAATGATGCTGAGATATATTCAAAACACCTTATAACTTCAGACATGATCACATAAACTGTTCCTACCCATTGTAAACCATAGCAAAAGCATTGACGTAAAACAGTAAAAGCACGCGTATAAATTGACTGATTCTGAAATACATTCAACAGGTTTTAAGCTATAACTTTAGACTTAACTATATACACTGTGGCTGTCCACTGTAAACATACCACAGTAAAAGCATGGAATCTAAGCTGCTTTATTCTTAAGTCATAACTACAAACAACTATATATGCTATGGCTGCCCAATGTAAACCTACTAAGGTAAAAGCATGGACTTCACAATTTGCACTGCACAATTTATTCTGAAATGGATTAAACAAACAGACTTTATATCTGTTAATATATCTACACACTCAGCTACATGCACTGTGACTGTAAACATACCATTATGTTGGTAGCGATCACGTTTGGGTCATCGCATATGGACTCAATGAAGAAGATCTGCAAGAGGACAGATTTAGAGTCAGTGGTGTTTATTCACAGCAGCTACTTGCGTCATCAGCATCACTGAAATGCCCTGATAAAATGACAAACCTTAAAGCCGTTCTCAGCACCAAAATCCAGGATCATGTCTCTCCTGCTTCTGGTTGTGTTTGTTGCATCAAAAACCTGCAGACGGTGAAAAGGGTGAGAATCTGTACCTTTTGTATTGCTGTACTAAATGGTACATAATTTTCACATTAATAAAATGCATTACATCTACACTATTACTTCCAAAAGTTAGTTACTGAGATATGGAACTGTTGTAGATACACTTTATTCACGTAGAAATGATGTACTTATTTGACTTAAGTCAATTCAGCACATTCCTGTTTTTTAATGTGTGTAATCAAAGGAAATACTTACTGCAACTTGACCACCCAGCTCAGTTAGGTAAACCTTGACATCTCGGAGAGCAGCTAAGGCACACTGTCTGTAGGAATGGACAGAATCGGACAATAACAGGGTTAATTAGTGAACTAACAGTAAATAACTGAAGCTGTTGTCTTGTTATGTAGCTTGAAGACGATCACAGGTTTGAAGGCCTGACTTACTCTCTTATTCTGACTGCTTCCTTGTTGTCTGATTTGAAAAAATCATATGAGCTGTAGTGTTTAACTGCCTCTCTGCGATACTCGCCAACATTGAAGACTGGAAAAATAAAAGCAATTATGGTCAGTACCTTCTATGAACTATTCAGCAACTACTATGATTTTTTTCTGTAACTACTATTAATTATTTAGTAGCTACTATTTTTAAGTACTATGAATTACTCTATAATTCTATAACTACTATAATTTTTTTCTATAACTATTCTGAATTATTTTATTTGTTAAATTTACCTTTGGTGGGCATGCCAACCCAGTTGAGGTAGCGTGTGAGTTTCCTGGAGATATATGTTTTGCCTCTTGCGGGCAGACCAACCATCACTATGACTGTAGGTGGGTTGGCCAAGTGTGGGCCGCCACCAGCTGCAAGGGAACCGGAAAAATAGGGTTAGAACTATGAGCCATTTTGAAAAACTGAATTGCTTATGGATAAACATGAATATTTTAACTACTTATAACCAGACATTTTACAGTTCAATCTGGACATGTGCAGGCCTCCTCAAGTTAAATCTAATAATCTGTAAGACGTTTTACTGCCAATGTAAATTTAATTTGAAGTGATTTTAAAACAATTTAACACTCAATAAGGCCTTTAATTTGTAAAATGTAATTGTAAACACCTGAAGTTTCCATTTACGCTGTACAAAGCCTGTCAAGACAACTAAATGTTTAACTAAAATTAATAAATTAAATCACTGCCACACTTCAGATGGCATTTTCCTTGGTACAAGGTAGCTCTTTGCTGTGTGTGTGTGAATCAAGTAACATCAAGACTTGAGTTTTTGATAATAGATCAGAGTATAGAAAGCTTATTTATGCAAAAAGGAACATTTATTTATTTATTTACTTACTTACTTACTTACACTGAATTCAGAGTAATCAGAAATTATCGATGAAATGACAAATGGCCTTAGCTTTCATAAATTTATTGTGCTTTATATTTAGTTGGCTGTTCATACAAATGATAATTGGATGTTGGTATATTGTCCAGTTTACACTGTTCAGCACATGACTCAGAAAATGTGTGTGCGTGTTTGTAAACTCAATAACCTTTTTTCTCCCTCCAGCCTGCTCATCCCTTTTTCTCTGCACGAGCCCCCTGTCATACAGAATTAGGTCACTCAGTGCGTGTCTCGCTATGTGTGTGTGAGTGGGTGACTAGCTGCATGGGCAGTGCAGGAATGAAGAGAGAGAAGCTTTTTTTTTCTTTTTTTTTCCTCCCGCTCTCCCCTCACTCCAGTGCCCATCCACGTGCCCTAACATCACGTGCCCCAGATGGGCCGTCTGTCTGCGGCTGACAGAGCCACAGTCCCCTCCACTGCCCAGTCAGCCTAAACCGGGTCACTCAAAAAATATATTCCTACACAAGATTAAAACTAAATATTAAATAAATCACTAAAATGTTAAAATGTTGGACATTAAAGAGCCCATAGTCCATGTTTTTCTATATACACACACCGAAAACAGTCATAATTAATTTTTATATGAGCATTTTTCAACCTCTCTTGATCCCTTGAAGCCAAAGCCAGGCTTGTCTTGTTGCTGTGCCTTTACGACTGATATATGCAAACAGAAATGTTCTGACTGGCTGACCTCTACTGGGCTGAAATGTGCAGAAACAATACTTCTTATCACATCGACGTGAGTGGGTGTGGCTAAACTGACATGGGTAAATGGGTTCATGGTTGTGACATCATGACCATAATGAATTCAAAACAGGCTATTTTTTTCACATTTTTGCAGTTTACATTAGACTGATGGAAACTTGTTGATTTCAATGAAGCAAGAAAAATTCAGTTCTCCATGATATGGGCCCTTTAAGAGGAACAGACTCGTATCACTAGACACACATCAGTCAGTAAATCCACTGTTGGAGGATTGTCTGTATTAAAGTCTGATACACTAGCATGTAGAGAGAACAGCCAAATCGTGTTTTACTTTTTGTTGAAGGTTCAAGTAAATTAGAGCCTTTGAACTGTATCATCATTCACTGTCCACTCCACCTTGCTGGCCCTGCATGAAGCTTCAAATTGCTCACACACATGCACGCACACAGGAGAGGCTGCATGAGGCTGTGTGCGTGTCTCCATTCAGCACTCTGGGATGCAATGCTTATGAACGGAAAGACTGAGCTCAAACAGCCAGTGTAATCCGCTCTCCTTACAAGAACGTCCTCAGAGGAGCCAGGCAACGTCGGTCAGCAAAAGCTGCCACTGAGCTCATTAACCTGCGCGCCTCAGACAGACCACTGACGCTGACCCCTTTCATACACAAAGACCATGCAGACTGCAGCTACTACAGGATGACAGAGACCCTTGTGCATTGACTCTGTGCAGAATATCACTGTATTTGGCATGGCTAACTTGCAAACCTTCTCACTATGCACAAATTACTATAGTGGACACAATGGGGAAGGGCAACAGAATGACAAACGCAGAGAGTTTAAACGAGACAGAATACACAGTGCACTATTTCTCTTTCCGGCTCTTTGGATCAAACTTGGCAATAAAAGAAACTGTGACAGAATTCAGCCTTTGTTTTATTCAGCTTCCCACTACAGCTTACATTTGTAATTCAATTACAGTATATTTGCAGTGTGACTTTTCAAATTTAGAATAAATACATCAGCAAACAGCAGATTAAACTGGAATTAAAACAAGTGTCTTCAAGTGAGCCCTATTAACGCGTTTTGCATACAAAAAGCGGTCAGTAACTGAGGAGAGTCAGGAGCCGGTTGCTATGGCGACCACGTCACCGTTTATTTTAGCCGGCTCCCTGCGTTATAAGCTAATGAATCAGCTGTGATCTTAGGTAGCCAACATCTAAATCTGAGTGAAATAAACCGTGACACAGTTTCAGGATAACTCAGAATAAACCACAGGGTAGTTCAGACTAAATGATAACGCGACTAGTGAAATTTTAAGCGCAACCCACTGAGCCAGTTTAATATAATCATCACTAAATTAGACTAATGCTGCAATCACTGTGTGCTTGTGACAGATGTAGCTGACAGGCTGTGAAGAGAAACAAGTTAAATAAAGTTCAGTATTTCAGTATTAGCTGCATACTGGAACTGAGACGGGATGAATCAGAAAGCCTTCATAACCAAGGATGGTCGCGTCACGTACAGTGAGCTACCGCTCATTACGGGCTTCTCTACAGCAGCAGCACAGCAATGTTCACCTTTAGCACATCCCTGCTCACAGCTCCCATTTAACCCAATAACTGCATATATATGAGAAGAAAAAACGCAATATTGGTCAGAAAAATCACAAAAATCACAAATTTCCTAATCTCGAGTATTGAGATACTGAATAGTTTATATCCTGGATGGATTTTTGTAACTAGATATAAATGTGCATACTTTTATGAACCATGAGACCAGAAGTGGCTCATTTTGTAGCCCTTAGTCAGTTGGTTCAGATCTGGACAACGGCGGACAGTGCGGTAAGGCAGGTGGTGGTGAACTGAAGCTAACGCAGACAGAGTGAAGATACAGAAAGAGAAACAAAAACAGAGCAGCAGCATCTTCCCCACACAAGTCGAGCCAAACCACAGATCAGGGACCACACGAGATTTTACTTACATTTCCTGGGCATTGCAGGTTTGTCATCCTTTGAAGGGATCCAGATCTTTTGGATTTTGTTCTGAGTGAGTTCTCTCGTCATTCCTCGGTGATGGCTGTGAAACTGCAGCGGGCCAAAAATAAGTGAAGCGCTTGACCACGAAACGAAGTCTAAACGTAATTGTGTTGTTCAAATAGCCACAAAAACCAGGGCTCTGTTCGTAAAGCTCGTGTCTCTGGCGAAATTCTCCCGGTCTGCTCTGTGCCGGAGTCCCACATGCTCGTTTTAAATCCGGCAAGCAACGTGACTGCCGGTGACGTCAGACGAGGGAGGCGGCCGCGAGCGCAGTGCCACCTGGCGGCCAAAATCAACCAAAATCACCAAAACCACCTAACCAAAACCTCCTTTATCCTCTAGAATTACAGTGATACACTTGCGCCCTGCTGTGTGTTTACATGCACGGATGCTGCTTTGCCTGCTGCATATGTTACACGTGTTAAACCTGCATTGCCTTTGATTTAAATGTTGCTTTTGATGCTAATGAAAGAGTTCAGTCCACTAAATCCTCCACAACCTGTCAGATGCTCGACAGCTCACTAAACGGGCATCCGATCTGCCTACGTGCTGAAGGTCACTGCATCAGTAGAAAACCACAAGGGGAAAAAAAAAACCTTCCTCAGCACATTCAGCATCAGTATGGTGGACATTCCTGTTTTTTTTAATTACTGGGCGACTCCTATTTTCTTGAACAGATGCGAATGGTAAAGTAAAAATATTTTTTAAAATATGTTTTTTATTTTTTGTTTCTGCTTGTGGAGTTTAAGTGATGGATTAAGGACTGTGGATTAAGTGAGATATTTTTAAAAGAACTACTGAGCAATAAATTCATAGCAGTACATTTCTGCCATCACAGCAAAGCAAAGGCGAAGTACATTATTTCTTTTTATTTTTTTTATATGCATTTCTTTAAGTTTTTACGTATTTTATTCAAATAAATCAAGCAGAAGTGATTATGTTCTACATATACTAAAACATTAACTGGTTTTTACTCTGAAGGCGTTTCATTCTGCATTAATAAAAATTCACTTAGTATAAATAATTTATTCAACATTCCACAACATTTCACCCTAAAAAGCATCAATGCTTCATTGTATATGTGATCTAAATGGGTCGCGCGAGCACATATACTCGATCAGGAGGACACCTGGCTGTGTAAGATGCTGGTATTTAACACAACATTAATATTAGGAATAATATAATGAATAAGGGCGCTCTTCAGCTCGTGCCCCCCCGCACGTAGCTCCGGATGAATCAGCGCCACCCTGAAGAACTGCCAAACCCACCCTGCTGTAAAAGAGCTATTAGCTTCAGTGAAACACAGTTTCAACCAGAAGGGAAAGCACCAAAAAAAAGAAACAAACAACAAAAAGTATCGACTAAAAACTCCCCGGAGTTGAGCTCCCTATTCATCTGCAGTGGAACTGCTTTCTACATCCAGCATCTACCAATCAGCACAGGAGCTGAAGTTTGTTAAGCTCTATTATTCCCGTTTTGGATCTTTTTGGTCTGAAATAAAACACTAAAGCTCCGAAGTAAGAGGTGTGTTGATTCAGGAGCTGAACCCACAGGAAAGAATCAAATTAAAACCCAAAAAAGGGGATTATTAACTAGGAAAATATGAAAAGCAGCAGTGGAACTGAGGCAAACATAGATAATCTCTCCTCACACATACTTGACATAAAGATATCATTTGAAAATGCTCAGAAAAGTACAAAGTCACTTTAATTGCATTTAAGTACAAGGAACAAATTCAACTATACGGAATTGCCGTCTCTGTCTGCCTCTTCTAAGCACTGAGTCAGAGCCACGCAGCCAACACCTATCATTATCTACCTCTTACATTTAACACGCTTCTGAAAGGCTGGGAGTGATGAGAGTCCATACCCTGCAGCCTCCTCTAAAAATAGAAGATCATTGTCTCATACTGAAATGAGTGGTGCAATCAGACAGTATGAATCCATCCACATTCCCCATCACTTTAAAAGGGATAAGGAATGTCAATTCAAGCTTAAATTGGAGCATTAAGGTAGATAGATAGATAGATAGATAGATAGATAGATAGATAGATAGATAGATAGATAGAAATTCAGAGTTAGAGCAGCAACAAATGTGACTGTGCAAATGTACAAATATTAGAAAGAAACTATAAAAATAAAAAGATATTACACTTGCAATATTCTTAACAATATGGGATTTTGTTTGTCTGTTTGTTTGGTTACAGATGTTTGCTTAATTGCAGGTGTGCAGTATGTAATGTTCCAGCTGAAATCCTGGCAGAATTTGAAGGTCCAGTCCTGAGTCCTGTTGCCTATGAATAAGTCCATTTTCAGCCCACAATGGTGACCCACTTCTGCATGTCTGAATGTGGGGGTTGGGTTTTTGGGGGGGTGAAGGGTCAGGGAGGTTGTCTGAATACCATTCTGACCCAATGAGTCCTCCATACACATATAAAGAGGGACCCTTATATACACACACACACACACACAGACACATACACACACACACACACACACAAGAGCAACAGAATCAATATACCATCTCTATGTCTTCAATACACTTAAACTTATTTATTTATTCATGATATTAAACTTATAACATTTCTGATACTTGACTGACATTACTTTTTTTATTTCAGAACCCCTCATCTTTTGTGGCACCTCCGCTGTTGTGTGTATCTGTTCAGATGATGAAAATGATGAACTCAGTACAACAGATTTACATTTACACAATTTACACTGTTTTATGCAGTTTTGCTACAATGACAGTCACAGTGCTTTTAAACCATGAATTCAGGAAAATTTTCACACACACACACACACACACACACACACACACACACACACACACACACACACACACACATATGGGTCACCATCTGTGTGTGAACTGTATTATATGGCAGCCCACAGGAACAAATGGAGTATCACTGCTTAGTGTTTCAGCTGGTTCCATCAGGGTGGTGTTTTAAAATGCCAGAGAGAATCGTCCCCCATCAGAATTATATCTAGTCAGTGGGGGTCCTATGGTGGTCCCTTTCTGCATTGGTGGACAGGGTAGAGTGAGCTGACTGTACGCCTACAAAGTGCACCTGTGATAGGAGTTCTGTGGGCTGCTGTTTGTTTAAAGCAATGTTTAAAGTTCAAAGTGATTCCAAATGCAATCAGCAGAACAGCTCTAGCCTTATGAGGAACTGGGTCTAAGCACCTGTTTACCGATAGAGAGCATGATGTAAACAGCAATACAAACATCTTTACTGAAGACAGAGAACAGCTTGAGTCAGCATATAGATCTGTTTTCAACTGTGCACGTGGTAGAGAGGAAAAGGATACACTAGTTTTGTAAGTAAGGTTAATATCTTAAAAACAAATCAATCCAAGTTGTGGGATTAGTGCAAATAAACAGCACTTTAAAAATAAAGTTAGCAAGTTCTTGACTTGGGTGTATGGCTCTAGGAAAAATCTTTTATTATATGAATGTTCTTTAGACTTTAAAAAGGTCATTCACACATACCCATTACATTTACAAACAAGGTACTTTAAAGATCCACTCACTAAAAGAGGAATCCCACCCATTTTCTAATTTTCTGCATAATTAAATCATTAAGATATAAACAAAGCCATTCAGAGTGGTTTGATATGAAATGCTTAATTCTAGAGAAACTTATTGAGTCAAAAACTTTGTAAAATTGGTGGAATTAAATATTTTTTTTCTTTATTATTTCACATTTAATGCTATTTTACTTGCCATTTAGCATATTTCACTGCTCATTTAACATTGTAAATAAAATGACTATATTTGTGTTGTAGACATGGCAACCCCTGCTTCCTATCAGCACCACTGTAAAGAAATCTGAGTTAGTAACTGAACGATTTCACATCAAACCACTCTGAATGACTTTGCTTACATCTCAAGGTTTAATTATTTAAAAATGTTGAAAAATCTGTAGAATTCATCTTGTAAATGTCATTGTTATAGGATATTGCATCATAGATCCCTTTTTGTCAGTGGTGCTTTAAAGGAGAATTCTGCTGAATTTCCAAAAAAAGTTATTCTGAGGGGTTTGATGTGAAATGCTTAGTTCTAGAGAAACTTACTGAGTCATAGCTGTTCACAGTGGTGCCAAAAGGAACCAGATATCGGAAGCATTTAATACTCTAAAGGCTCCTCCACAGAAATTTATTACATGAAATGGTTATGAATACACTGCCTGATGCATGAAACCTTGTTTTCCAATAGGTTTGAGAAAAAGTTTTAATCTCAAACATATTTTGGAAACCCACCCCAAAAAGAGGAGAGATACTTGCAGGGTGTTGTAAGGAAAAAAGTCCCCAAAGACTTTTTGTTTTCCAGATTTGGCACTACTTTACCATTACCAACAGTACATATCAAAACGCAAGACGCGTGCAGGTTCACTGGTCATCAGTAAATAAAATGGCTTTATTTGCAACATACACACACAGTGCTGTGAAAAAGTATTTGCCCCTTTCCCAATTTCCTCTATGTTTGCATTTGTCACACTTGAAAGTTTCAGATCATCAAACTACTTTTAGTATCAGATAAAGATAACCCAAGTAAACACAAAATGCTGTTTTTAAAAGATTTAATTTATTGAAAGAAAAATCCTGTTCAGCTCTACCCTGCGCTTTGTGAAAGCAAATCACAGTGAGAGCCATTATCCACAAAAAGAGAAAACTTGGAACAGTGGAGAACCTTCCCTGGAGCGGCCGGCCTACCAAAATTTCACCAAGAGCGCATTGATGACTCATCCAGGAGGTCACAAAAGAACCCAGACAAACATCTAAAGAACTGCAGGCCTCACTTACCTCAGTTCTGCTCAGTGTGCATAACTCCACAATAAGGAAGACACTGGGCAAAAATGGCATCTATGGGAGAGTTGCAAGGCACAAACCACTGCTGACCACAAGACTTTTGGGATAATATTCCGTGGACTGTGGACTCAAAGGAGGAACTTTTTGGAAAAAATGGGTCATTACCGCTGACATAAAGCTAACACCGCATTCCACCATAAGAACATCAAACCAGCAGTCAAACATGGTGGTGGCATTGTGATGGTCTGGGGCTGCTTTGCTTCTGTAGAACTTGAATGACTTGTCATAACTGATGGAACCATTTAGTTTGCTCTCTATCAGAAAATCCTGGAGTTGAATTTCTGCCTGTCAATTTGTGA